ATTATACATGTACTTTGTTTTTTTTTGCATTACAATTCTTAATATACATATATATCATAATTTTTCATATCTCTGTTTGTATATAAAGTATGTGTATATAGCTAGACCCAATTCAAGTCTTCATACACGTTCTTTGTATAATGATGTCCATCACATTCCACCATCCTTGCTAATCCCCTTCTCCCTCCTTTTCCCTCTCATCCCTCTTCCCTATTTAGAATTTATCTAATCCTCTCATGATCTCCCTCTCTACCCTACTATGAGTCAACCTCCTTATATCAGAGAAAACATTCTGCATTTGTTTTTTTTTTGGGGGGGGGGATTGGCTAACTTCACTTAGCATTATCTTTTCTAACTCCATCCATTCACCTGCAAATGACATGATTTTGTTCTTTTTTAATGTTGAGTAAAATTCTATTGTGTATATATGTCATATTTTTTTATCCATTCATGCACTGAAGGACATCTAGGTTAGCTCCACAGTTTAGCTATTGTGAATTGTGCTGCTATAAGCATTGATGTGGCTGTGTCTGTGTTGCTGTTTTAAAGTCTTTTGGGTATAATCTGAAAACAGAAATAGCTGGGTCAAATGGTGGTTCCATTCCCAGATTTCCAAGGAATCTCCATACTGCTATCCAAATTGGCTGCACCAATTTGCAGTCCCACCAGCAATGTGTGAGTATACCTTTTCCTCACATTGTTGCCAACACTTATTGTTGTTTGTCTTCATAATAGCTGCCATTCTGACTGGAGTGAGATGATATCTTAGAGTAATTTTGATTTTCATTTTCTCCATTTAGAATGATGCTTGCCTTGGATTTAGCATATATAGCTTTTACAATGTTGAAGTATGGTCCTACTATCCCTAGTTTTTCTAGTGTTTTGTACATGACAGTGTGCTGTATTTTGTCAAATGCTTTTTCTGCATCCATTGAGATGATCATATGATTCTTGTTTTTAAGTCTAGTAATATGATGAATTATGTTTATTGATTTCCATATGTTGAACCAACCCTGCATTCCTGGAATGAATCCCATTTGATTGTGGTTTTTTTTTTTTTACTATGTTTTTGTATGCCAGAATTTTATTGAGAATTTTTGCATCTATGTTCATTAGGGATGTCAGTCTGAAGCTTTTTTTCTTGATGTGTCCTTGTCTGGTTTTGGTATCCAGGTGATATTAGCCTCATAGAATAAGTTTGGAAGGGTTCCCTCCTTTTCTATTTCATAGAATACTTTGAAGAGTATTGGTGTTAATTCTTCTTTGAAAGTCTTGTAGAACTTGGCTGAGAATTCATCTGGCTTTTCTTGGTTGGTAGGCTTTTGAAGGTGTTTTCTGTTTCATTACTTGAAATTGATCTGTTTAAATCACCTATGACTCCTCATTCTGTTTGTGTAGGTCATATATCTCTAGAAATTTGTCAATGTCTTCAATATTTTCTATTTTATTAGAGTATAAATTTGCAAAATAGTTTCTAAATATTTTTTGTATTTCAATAGTGTCTGTCATGATATTTCCTTTTTCATCACAAAGGAGGGAATTTTCTCCCTCTTTCTTGTCATTAGGTGGCTAAGGGTTTGTCAATCTTTTTTATTATTTCATAGAACCAGCCTTTTATTTTGTCAAGTTTTTCAATTGTTTCTTTTGTTTTAATTTCATTGATTCCAGCTCTAATTTTAACTATTTTCTGTCTTCTACTCCTTTTTGAGTTGATTTGTTTTTATTTTCCTAGGGCTTTGAGGTGTAGGGTTAGGTCATTTATTTATTTATTGACTTCTTAATCTTTTAATGAATGCACTCAATTCAATAAACTTTCCTCTTAATACTGCCTTCATAGTGTCCCAGAGATTTTGATATGTGGTATCAGTGTTTTCATCTATCTTTAAGAATTTTTTTATTTCATTCTTAATTTCTTCTAGTATCCATTCATTATTCAGTAGTGTATCATTTAGCCTCTATTTGTTACAGTAGCTTGTATTTTTTATTTTATCATTGATTTCTAATTCCATTCCATTGTGGTCTGATAGAATGCAGGGTATTATCACTTTTTTGTATTTATTAGAGTTGCTTTGTGCCTTAAGATATGATCTATTTTAGAGAAGGAGCCATGTTCTACTGAGAAGAAAGTATATTTGCTTGTTGATGGATGAAATATTCTATTTATGTCTGTTAAGTCTAAATTATTGATTGTGTTATTGAGCTCTATAGTTTCCTTAGTTTTTGTTTGGAAGATCTACCAGTAGTGAGAGAGTGTATTAAACTCACCCAGGATTATTGTATTGTAGTCCATTTGACTCTTAAAATTGAAAAGGGTTTCTTTGATGTACATAGGTGCCCCATTGTTTGGGACATAAATATTTATAATTGTTATTCCTGCTTATGTATACTTACCTTAAAAAGTATGAAATGTACTTCTTTGTCTCTTCTGATTAACTTTGGTTTGAAGTCTACTTTATCTGAAATGAGAATGAAAACCCCTGCTTGTTTATGCAATCCATATGAGTGATAAGTTTTTTCCTATCCTTTGACCTTCAGCCTGTGGATGTCTTTGCCCCTGAGGTGAGTCTTTTGAAGACAACATATTGTTGGGACTTGCTTTTTAATCCAATCTGCTATGTTTGTTTTTTGATTGATGAGTTGAGGCTGTTAACATTCAATGTTATTATTGAGCTGTTTTTGTATTCCCTGTCATTTTGATTTATTTTTAGTTTTTGATTTGTCTTAGTTTCTCATTTGGTTGAACATCAATTTAGTGTAGATCCTCCCTTTTCTGGTTTTCACTTCATCCTCATGGAATATTTTTTGAGAATGCTCTGTAATGTAGGCTTTCTAGTTGTGAATTCTTTTAATTTTTGTTTATCATGGAATGTTTTAATTTTATCTTCAAATCTGAAACTTAACTTTGTTAGATATAAAATTCTTGGTTGGCATCCATTTTCTTTCAGAGCTTGAAATATATAATTATTCCAGGTCCTCTTAGTTTTGAGGGTATGGGTTGAGAAATCAGTTGAGATCCAAATTGGATTCCCCCTATATGTAACAATTTTTTTCCCTCTTACATCCTTTAAGATTTTATCTTTCTACTCTGTGTTAGTCATTCTCATTATAATTTGTCTTGGTGTGGGTCTTCTGTAATTTTGTGCATTTGGGGTCCTGTAAACCTCTTGTATTTGATTTTCCATTCCATTCTTTAGAGGTTTGGGAAATTTTCTGCTATTATATCTTGAAAAGATTGTGCATTCCATTGGTTTGTGTCTCTGCTCCTTCATCTATTCAGATAACTCTTAAATTGGTTCTTTTCATGTTATCCCATAATTCTTGGATATTCTGCTCATGGTTTCTTATCATCTTCTCCACATGTTCAACTCTACTTTCAAGATTATATATTTTGTCTTCATTGTCTGAGGTCTGTCTTCCAAGTGGTTGTCTATTAGTTATGCTTTCTATTGAATTTATAATTTGGTTTACTGATTCCTTTATTTTGAGGATTTCTGCTTGTTTTTTTTTTCATGATCTCTAACTCTTTATTGGTCTTTCACTTCCTGTATTTTTTCTTTGATTTCATTCCTATACTATCCTTTACTTCACATATCAATTTAATGACGTACAATCTGAACTCCTTCTTGGATATTTCTTCTACATGTTATCAGTGGCTTCTGTTATTGAAGTATCTTGGTTTGTTTTCTCATGTTGATAATGTGTTCTCCCTCTAAAAGTTTGTATCTAAGGCAGGATAAATTCTACCCTGTGGATCCTATAGTGTCCCTAAAGATTTCAAGTGCTTTGTCTTTGCTGGTGAGATCAACATCCACAGCACCCAGTATATACAATATATACCCTCAAACCTTATAGCTCCCACTAAGGCGTCTACTGCTTTCTCCCATTAAACCAAAATGATGAGTTCAATAACTATCTATAGTATAACAGAAAAATTGTTCAAATGATTTACAATGGTGATCTCAGGTGGATAAGAGAACAAAAGTAGTGTAGTATGTGATATATGTGTGGAAGGAGAGAAACTAGAAGTAAAAATTCACAGGAATTGTGGAAGATGAGCTGACAGAGATTGGCTGTTGGTTGGAGAAAAGCTGGAAAGAAAATAGATAAGAGAGAGGAAGAATACAAACAAAGAGAAAAACTAAGACATAAAAATACAATAAAAATATCATTCAAATATCATTGGCTTCCATACACTGATGCATAAAAAACATCCTGTTCCAAATATGGTAGAGATTAGTGAATCAAAAAATAAGATAAAATAAGTCTTGCTGGAAAGTCGAATTTTTTTATGTCAGTGTTCAATAGTTTCTCAGCCCTGTCTCTACATCTCTTAGCATCACCAAAACCCAGATGAGCCCTTGCAAACCCGGTCTCTATCCCACCAGTCTGGGCTTCAGATACCTCAGGATCCGTCACGCTGCAGTCCCAAGATCTCAATGCTGCTCCTACTTGCAGAGAGACAATCAGGGATACACTCAGGCAAAGGAGCAACCCTGAAATGCAGCAGCAAGACAAGGGCCACTAGCACTCTCAGCAGGAAGACCCCAGGCTCCTCCAAACCCACAGGCACCACCCCCAGACTGGACCTGCAGGTCCCAGCTAGAGTCCCCAGACAGAGGCTCTTCTGGTGGTAAACCTGCTTGCACCTGGGCCCCAGGCCCTGGCTGGTGTCCCAAAAAGGGTGCAACCAAACCTGGAGTCTCCCCTGAAGTAGTCCTCTAGGCTGTGGTAGCAGCTGTAGTGGTGGTGGCTGTTGGCAGCAGGCAGCGGATCAGGAATAGTGGTGGCTGCAGCAGCAGCTGCAATTGCAGCTGTGTGTGTGTGTGTGGGCGGGGGGGGGGGGGGGGGAGTGTCACCAGGGGATCTCCAGGGATCAGCAGCAATTTCAGCTTCAGTTGCATCTGGGGCAGAAGTTTGTTCTGTGGCAGCAAAATCCAGAAAGAAGACCTGCAGACGATCCCAGCAATGGAATCTTAGGCAGCTACAATGGCGATAGTGGTTTAGGCTGTGGTAGATTGACATGAGACTTCCAGTTCAGTGGCAGCAACCTCAGCGGTAGTGTCAGAATTTGCATCAGAGGTAATGGAGGCTGTGCCCAGAGAAGAGATCTCTGGGGACTCTGTGGCAGCACCGTTTGAGGCAGAGGCTTCTGCGGCTTCTGCAGCTGTGGCTTCTGTGGCTTTGGCATCTGCGGCAACAGCAGCAGCAGCAGCAGCAGCAGCAGCATCAGCGTCAGCAGCAGCTGTAAATAGTTGTTATAGGACATTATTTAGGAATAAATAACAAGAAAAAATGTCTATATATATATCCAATACAGGTACAATTTAAAAATATGTTTTGGTCTGCAATTGGTTGAATCTGTAGATATGAAACTTGCAGATACAGAAAGATAACTATATTTTCATATTTTCAAATTACTTTCTTTAAGTAGCCTTGACTTGAAACTATAACATAACCTTTATTTAAAATTAATGGTTGAGTTCTAATCTAATTATTTTATTTCTTGTATATTATTAACATATTTTAATATTCTTATTTCCATTTCGAAAATTTTTTTTAGTTTTCATAGACACAAGAGCCACTGCATGTTTTTCATTCCTTGACTAATTTTTTTTGCTTTTACTTATGAGAAATTATTTGGAATAGGTAAAACCATGAACTCAAAACACTTTTCCTTTCATAATTCAATGCATTTTTTCCTTCTAACATAGTGATACACATAATACTGTCAATGTTGATTTAATACTATGTCCATTAAGGAAAATCTATCAGAAAAACAATGGAAACTACTCTTGATATTATGAATGGCATTTTTATTACAAGAAGTGTTGGGGAAATCTTACATTTGATGACATGTTAGTTCTCATTCATATCAGAAACAATACTTGGGGGATAATATGGGAATTATCTCCAAATTAATACCAATCACCTGTGACTCTCTGGCTGAACAAAATTGTAGAATGATTAACTTCTTTCAAGAAGGCAGAGTGAAAGAGTCAAAAGTTTTTCAAGTAGACTTAAATCTTAAAAATTTTCAGTGAATGAACTATGTAAAAGCAGTATGTATATATATGAAATAGTGTCACAAATTATGATTGCAGAGAATTGCATTCTTTTGGAAAGGATGCCAGAGATAGAGGCATTAATAGAAACTCTGACCCATATTGCAGGAAGAGAATAAAAAACCTGAAGAGCACAGCTGTGGTTCTGTATATTGTTAGCTGAAGGACAGGGCAGAAGCAGCCAGAGTCACTCTTATTACACACTTGAAATAGAAATAAGCTAACTCAGAGAGGGGCAGACTATAGCTTATCCATAGAATACTAATACATAACTTAAACACAATTGAGGATTTAACCTTTTTTTCTCTTGGGAAGCAGGGTGAAGTTTGGCACCACAAGACATAAAGTAGAAACTTATATGGGAATGTAAAACAAATCTGTACAAGAAGAAAGTTTCTGAGTCATAACTCTTTATGTTCACTTACCTTCTAGGTACTTTATTACACCAGTGATCAATAAACTGGAATATAACATCACAACACATATCATAATTGATATAGTTTTCATCTGGCTATTGTACAAGGAAAATAAAGGATCTGAAATAGAGACTGAGGAAAATAAAAAATTAGGAGATTTATGAGATAACATACTAGAAGAACAATAAAGAAAATATTAAATCAAATACTTAAATAATAGGTAAAAACCCCCCAAATCTATGGGAATATATGAACATCCAGGTACATGAAGCACAATAATTCCAATTAGGTTCAACATAAAGAGTTAACTAAAGAATAAAAGCAAACTTTCAAAAATAAAAGTCAGAGGACACACATTACACATTAAGCATATGCAAACTACAGTGTGTACTATCACACTTTTTTGTCACATATTTCTGTGCAAGGAATAGAGATGTGGATAATATTATCTGAGGAAGGAGCATGCTGAGTCATTTCTGAATCCATAGCATGGAAAACAACATTTGGCACTCAAAGACTAAAAAATAAGTATCAATGAAAGAAAGTTGTGGAGCCTCAATGAGTTCAGAAGCCAACTTGTGGCCATAAAATGACCAGCATTTAAAAATAAATAATATTAAGAGAGATAACAGGGCTGGGGATGTGGCTCAAGCAGTAGCATGCTCGCCTGGCATGCATGTGGCCTGGGTTCAATTCTCAGCACCACATACAAACAAAGGTGTTGTGTCCGCTGAAAACTAAAAAATAAATATTAAAACTCTCTCTCTCTCTCTCTCTCTCTCTCTTAAAAAAAGAGAGAGATTACAATATGACCAAACACAGAAGACCAGTGCTGATTCCTTTACAGAGAAGTACCTAATGAATACTTGCTATATCAGATGGGTGACTGAGAGAGTATTGAAACGCAACAAGAGAAGAACAGTATTCCTTTAAGACATGGAGACATGGAATGGTAGCATAAAGAGTTGAACAGAACCTGGTTCCCTCATAAAGGGGACTTCGTGATGTGAGAGATAGAGAAGGTCTCACTGGACCCTGTAATGGACACTGATAATCCTTGTAACAAAGGAGCCTAGTTAGAAGAGTAGTATGGGTTCTCCATGTAGCTTTTCTACAGAAAAGAAACTTACGTTTCCTCTCCTTAACACCCAGAGCTCAAGCTTCTGAGTGACTGTAAGAATGTATATTGCCCTGAGGGACAGAAGTCCCAGTATATTTCCATTCCTGAAGTCCCATAAGCATTCCATCATGGAATACAAAAGATACTCTATGAATGTTATGAACCCAACCAGGTCTAGCCCTGCAGCTATGATCCCAGTACCAAGTCTTGCAGTGCTTGCATGGTGGCTGGTTCAGCATGGCACAGGGTGCCAGCCCCAATATCTGAGGAACCAAAGTGCTCATGCTCTGGGACAGGAAATATCCCTTACACACATATGTGCATGTGCACGAACATACACACACTGTTTCTGACTGACTTTCGTACATGGTATTGCTGAGGATGGGGAATGAGCTTGCCTTGCTTCACAAGTGTGTACAACTGGTAAGACTAGAGGTGAGACTTATTTACTGCTTGTCCCTCATTGTCATTGCTTCCAGTCTTCAGCAGCACATGTCATTGGGAGTTGGAATATGTGCCTCTCACTGGCCTTCACTGATATCAGTTCTAACCTCTACAGGACCAGAGAATGAATTCAACATACTCCATAGCTGAAGCTTCACCCTACAAAAAAGCAACAGCCCCAGCTATCATTGACACAAACCCCTGCATGTTCTAGAGCTACAGCCTCCATGAACCATACCTTGGCACTTTTGTGCTCAGAGCCAGAGATCTCTGTTGACAATGGATATTGATCTAGGGTACCAGAAATATCCACTATCCTTCATGTCCCTGGTGCCACCACTCCAATCACTGGATTGGCCACACAGAAGTTATCTCAACCTTGCTTTTTTGTAGGGTTCTTTATACACCTTACCCTCCTGGGCTGCTAAAGTGCCTAACACCTTTTCTTTCTGACCACATTGCTGCTTCTACCACACACAAAGCCACTGGTTACAGCTGAAGAACCTTTAGGGAGATTGTACTTCAGTGTCAACCTGGAGCCAAAGTCAACAGAATCTACCAAAATGACACCCAAAGACACATTTTCAGGAGAAAGTCTATTACAATACTCGCCTTATAAAATTGGTAGAAACAACTGATCCACCACATAAATCAATGTAGGGACACAGAGAATTTCAAGAAGTAACATAAAATGATGACTTCAAAGGAATGCACTATAGCAATTGGGCCTAAGAAAGGTTATTGATGAAATGCCTAGGGAAATTAAACAAAATGTTTCTCAGAAAACTTAATGAGATGTAAGAGTATATAGAAGTACTTTTAAATTAAGTTAGGAAAATAAATTGTGATATGAGTGAGAAATTCATCAAATACTTAAAGATCATGAAAAAGAACCAAACAGCAACCTTGGAGCTGCAGGATATAGAGTCAAAATATAGAGTCAATAGCTTCAACAGCAATCTATATTAAGTTGAAGAAAGAATTTCTGAACTTGAAAGTATTTTGAAATATCACAATCAGATAGTGGGTCCCCATAAAAAAGCAAAAGGTAAAGAAAATAAACTAAGAAGATAAAAAGATTGAATAAGAGACCTTAGGACATTATTAAATGAAAAACAAAAATCTAATTTTGTGAATCCCAAAGGCTAGAGGAGAAGTATTCCAAACATATTTAAGAAAACAACAGCCCAAAACTCACATGATATTGGAAAAATATAGATATCCAGGTATAAATGATGCAAAGGACACAGAATAAATTTGATCAGAAAAATGCTAACTATAGCACATTATATTAAAATTGTTAAAAACACAAGATAAAGAGAGAATCTACAAACAGCAAGAGAAAAAAACATTTAAGGAAACACCCAATAGACTAACAGCTCATATCTCAACAATTTATAGGCCAGAAGGGAAGAGAAAAACATATTCTAAGACCTGAAAGAAAATAAAAACTGATAATCAAGAATACTACTCTTACCAAAGTTATCCTTCATATATAATAAATGTTATCAAGGTTATAAAAACAGAGAATTTACCACAACCAAACTGGTCTTACAAAAGATGCTTAAAGTGTAGCAAGAAATGAGAGTGCCACAGATCCAAGGGATAATTCCAGAAGTCTGAGCCCTGAGCACAGCATGGCTTTTATTTTTATACATAACTAAGTTTGGGATACAACAAGGCAAGGGTGTTGATGAAATTCTATGGGAGGGTTATTCTACATTCCTTATATGTGTACAAGCTTGTTTACAACCTAGGTACTCTTAACTCATACAGCTTAGGGACTTTTATTGCACTAAGCCTAAAGTAGGATTGTTCTTTCCTACTACTTTGTCTTTTGCTTCTGCTACTGTGGTTATGTGTTACAGGTACCTGTTAACTGCTGCAAGCTTCTATGGTTAAATGGAAGTAAGCAGAGCTAGCTGCTATGTGTCAATGTGCAAAACCACTTCCTGTCAGCTCTTAAAATGCTAAATTTTCCCATCATATTCTACCATAAAAGGAATTATACATCTAGAATGAAAGAAGGACAACTATCATGAAAATTCATGAAAGTATAATGCCCACTAGAAGAGCACATCAACAAAAGAGAAACAGAAAAGAATCAAATTTCATCAATACACAAAATCACCAAGCTACCAAGATGACTAATATGAGAGAAAGAGAGGAACATAGGATATTCACAAAACATAAGAAAATT